AAGGGCAGGGGACCCAGGGGTGGGGACTGTCCTGGTGTCACACGGGAATTGCCCAGTGGGAGGGACTCACCCACCACATCCACCCTGAGCTCCCGCCAGTACTTGGTCTGGTTGGAGGTGGCATCCAGGACGCGGAGGTGGAGCTGGGTGAAGAGGCGCACATCCTGGCCGGGGAAGACACAGACGTGCCGTGTCCTGCCGGCCCCGTCGCGCCACGTGGAGACCGCACATGCTGTGGGCACATCCCTGAAGAACAGAGAGCGGGGTCCTGTAGCACCCCATGCCTCCTGCCCAGGGCTAGGCTGGAGGAGAGGGCACCTAGGGCACAGCACCAAGACCTTGGTGTCACCAGCTCCTCTGCTGTGCCCCCATCCACTGCAGGGCACCATCCCCATAGGACTGAGGGACAGCCATGGTCCCAGCCCCACCACAGGATGTGTGGTGGCTGCTAATGGAGCTCCACCAACTCTCCTTGCAGCTGGGAGCCACTGGGGTGGCAGGGAGAGCTGCAGCTCCCTGATCCTGCTGCTCGCCATGCGGGCAAAGGGGAGGCTGGCCCCCCACCTCCTACCTGCTGTACCAGTAGTAGAAGTGGCACGTCCTGCTCGCTGCCTCCTCCTCCTCTTCCTCATCCCAGAAGCAGGTGAGGTCCTCGAAGGAGCGGGAGAAGCAGAGGATGTCCTCTGGCACCCCTGCCAGCAGCGCAGCGTCTGGGAGGAGCGTGGGGGTGTGTAAAGGAGCCCTAGGGTACAAACCTGTCCTCATCCCGCCTGCATCCCTGCCCCGTGCCCCCTGCCCAGCTTCCCTCCGAGGCCAGGCCATGCAGGCACCTGGGGCAGCGTGGGCATGGCTGTGGCCATGGCACAAGGTGTCCTCCACCAGCTTGGCATGGCAGGGAGGGACATGGCACGTGTGTTGGCCGCTGGCTCTCAGGGGGGTCCTGGCAGGTGGCAGGGCTCCCCGCCGGCCGGCCCCACCGCTCCCCCCTCCTCAGCACGCGGGGTCCTTCGGGACAAACAAACATCCCGAAATAGCCCTGCGGTTGGAGGGGGGCTCGGGGCTGGGCGATCGGGGGGAAGCACCCCTGCCCTGCTCATGCCGGAAGGCGCGTGGAAGTGAGATAAGGAGGAGCTCTGCCCCAGGGAGAGGGAAAGGGCCTGGGGGCTGGCGTGGGGGCATGCGGTCCTGAGCAGGGGGGGTTGCTCAAAGCCCGGCCCCAGGACTGCTTGCGGGGCTGTGAGTTTCTCTGCCCCACTCGGCAAGCCTCACTCCCTGTCATTGCGGGGATGAACTGGGATGAACTGGAGTATCAAACCCTGCAGGATCTCCGTCCCAAGCACTGGTGGCTTTGCTGGCACATGGATGCCTGTCCCCGTTGTCAGGGAAAAGGGACAGCCCCAAGATGCAGCTGTGTGAAGCACAGGGGTGGCCTCGCTGCCCCCAGCATTGCTCCAGCACCTCCTCCCCCCCCCACTGCCTCTGCCCTGGGACCCACCCCAGCTCTCCTCTTCCTCCTGGGGTGTGCCCCTTTCCCCAGGGGCTGTCCCCAGCTGAAGGACCCCACAACAAGACCCCTGCCAGCACCCAGCCCCGCTCTGTGTGCTGAGCACATCAGTTCTCTGCTCCACACCCCCTGAGCTGCCAGCTGAGCCCACCCCAAGTGAAGAATAGCCCCCAAATGTCCTTGTCACCCTCCTGGTATCCCCCTGCTCTCCCTGTCCCTTCCCTTGCCCTGATCCACAGCCCTCTTCCTCTTTTACCAGCCCTGTTGCCTTCCTCCCCCAGCCCATGTCCCCTCCCCACCAACCACAACCTCCCAGCTACCTGCTCTTCCCTTTTTCCACCCCATTGCACCCACCCTGGGCCTCGTGTCGGCTCCATGACCTCCCCCCCTTGCTCCCAGCACCAGGAGATGGGGTGGCCAGGTCCCAGCAGCCGGGTGGCATGGGGACCTGTGGCGTCGGTGGGAGGTCACGCTGGTCCTGTTGGGTTACCAGAGCATCTCTGCTGGGTGCAGGCTGTTTCCTGGGAAGAGCAGCTGCCCAGCTCTGCAGCCCACATCAGCCGCCCTTGGGCAGCGGCTCTGGGCACAACGATGCCTCAGAGCCTGTGGGCAAAGGGAGGACGAGCCCAACCCCATCCTTCCTCCCACTGCCCCTACGGGGGTGACTCAAAAACATGCTCCCGAGCCTGCCATGGCCAGAGGCCTGGGGTGGGGCTGGAGAGATGAGCAGGAGATCAACAGGATTTTGTTCAGTTAATGCTTTTTATGGTGTTATAGAAAGTGTTAAAAAGGGCTAAAGGGGGACTCAAAGAAAGCATGGATAGGCCTGAAATGGGAGGAAGCTGGGAAGCGGCTCTGCCAAGCACGGCAAGCCAGGCAGGGGGCCAGCTACCGGCTGAGCTGAGGGTGCTCGGTGGGGCAGGGAGATCATGGCAGGGCTGGCGCAGGAGCATCGGGATTAGCCCGGCAGTGCCACAGCATTGCCCGTGGTGCGGTGCCTTGCCATCAGATGTTAGCTTAAATTTTGCTCAGACCCTCGTCATCATAACTCCAAGAGCTTTTGGTGAGTGGGGAGCCCCTCTGCCACTTGCACGGGGCTGGGAGCTGCAGGCTGCCATCCCGAAGGGGTGCCTGGGCGCAGCCTGGTCCTGCCCACAGGGAGCAGGGATGTACATTTGCTCCAGGCACCCCAGAGTGTCCCATGGGTGAGAAGGGGGCTCAATTGCCCACCTTGACCACCTCCCGCGCGCCCTTCTGCGATGCCCCTTCCCCAACCCTGAAGGTTCTGGCTGCCGTAGGGTCCTCTCTGGCCCATCCTTTGGGGGAGAAAATAGCCCCAAGGACCTACCTTGGGATGTCACCGGCTCAGGGGCTGACAGCGGGCTGTGGAGGCTGAGCAGGATGGTGGGGAGCAGCGAGAGCAGCCAGCCCTGGCACAGGTAGGCTGCCATCCCGCACCCCGTGTGCCAGGGCCGTGCGTGCCGTGCTCGGCCCTTCCCAGCGCCCCGGGAGCTGCTGTGGCTCCTCTGGGCGATACCTTTATCTGGGAAGGGGTGGCTGTGCAGCTCAGGAAGCCTGGCTGGAGGCTCCCCCCCGCCCCATCGCCAGCACTTCCC